CTTAGAGATTCGTAAGTGCAAACATTAACATTAACTTACGACTATCTTAGCGCTAAGAGAGCTCCGAAAATCTTGGCCCAGATCACGTGATGCCACAGATCTGCTGTGTTGTAACACTGTATCACGTCATTTTGGTACAGATCCCAGACTACCTATTTTGCCCTCGGAGTTCGAAGTCCACGTGGAAGGTACAATCATTGACCAGTCGATGACGGTGACGGCCGACGAGTATGTATCGATGATCATTGGAGCGTCGTCCCTGCAGGTGACACAGGGTGGGAATAGCGAAACTGTTATTCTCAACACCAACACATACGAAAGTTATCACATTCTTGGTGAGTAGTCTGCCCTTAGAGAATATTATTCCATGTACACATGGGAACAGTCTGGCCTTTAAACTAAACTAAAAACACAAATTCCGCCTAACTTACCCTTCCAATTTCCCGAGCACAGGAAGCTGAACACATCAACCCCAGTTCCGCACCAAATGTCACCTACTGGAAAATATATGTACACGCATTAAGCATAAGTCATGGTGATGAAAATGACAGCACTAAATACTTACAATTGTGGTCAGTTTTAATACTTTACTGGATGGATATGCTTTTGAAAAAAAAAACACCGTAAGAATCTTACACTATTTCATCCAATCACAGCTGTTCCATGTCTCTATTTCTTCAGATGTTTACATACGCTACTCGCTCAGGGAGCATGTGATTCTGATTTAGTGTAGTGGAACCTAGAGGAAAACGTCTTAGACTCTCGTTATATGGCAGTGTTGTTTATTGTGTAAGAAGGTTCTGGAAAGTACCACGGGGCACTGCAACAGGGCACAGGGGTCTTTCTATCACATTCTGATCCAGGGAGTTGATAAATCTTCTATGGTCTTTTTCTTTGGGATATAAGGGGAGCTAACTCTTGACTCCCACCTCACACTACATCTCAAGTTAAAAGACGGGCAGCATTGGTATGGAGGTTATTCGTACCAGCTTGACAGTGTAGTGAATATGACCATCTCTATCATTGTTGCTATTTCCCTGAGGACTGACTGACTGACTGAGTTTGGCTTTACCCCGCTTTTAGCAATATTCCAGCAACATCACGGCGGGGGACACCAAAAATGGGCTTCACACGTTGTACCCATGTGGGGATTTGAACCCGGGTCTTCGGCGTGACGAGCCAACGCTTTAACCACTAGGCTACCCCACCGCCCCATTTCCCTGAGGAACATTTCCCCCTAACCTTTGGACTTCATGACTGTGCATCCCTCTCCCCTTCTCCAAAAACCTTGATCTGCCTAAGACTGACTGACTGACTGACTGAGTTTGGTTTTTACGCCGCCTTTAGCAATATTCCAGCAACATGACGGCGGGAATCCGCCTAATTACAAGACGTGTTATGTGTGTGTTATGTGTGTGTTATGTGTGTTATGCACTACACCTAAGTTGCGCATTCGCATCACCATATTGACACTGAGAACCGTATCGTTAGTCTTGTATCTGAAATAACACTTGTTTTTCAACACCACAGATTCAGAGTGTACCGTGTATAACAGGTCGACCGACGTTGTGGACGTGTTGAACGGGGGTTCGTCAGGCATGTCGTCAATGCCACATACATACTCCACGGCGTCTGTGCTCAAGTTCGCCCAGAAGTATGGCGAGGTTTGTTTCTTATGTTGTTGAAGAACAAGAACCAGGTCCTCTAAACGATTAACTTCTGACCAAGAGGTAACCTAGGTAACCTTTTCACAGAAGCAATACAACGTGAGTAGCGTCGCATGCTTACCTATTTGGTATTATGATATTATTAATGTAAAGAGAATCTTATAACGAACAAAACAAAAAACAAGCCAGGCGTCAGTTTATGATATTAACATACGTTTATGTCACTCCTTATCCTCTGACCTGTGAAGGTCCGGGTTAGAATCAACCTTCAGTAACCTATGCTTGTCGTAAGAGGCGACTAACGGGATCGGGTGGTCAGGCTCGCTGACTTGGGCATGTCATCGGTTCCCAATTAAGCAGATCGATGCTCATGCTGTTGATCACTGGATTGTCTGGTCCAGACTCGATTATTTACAGACCGCCGCCATAAAGCTGGAATATTGCTGAGTGCGGCGTAAAACTAAACTCACTCACTCACCCCGTATCCTCTGACATTTCAAACACATGACATGATTATCCTTGTGTTATCATTGATCAAAATGATCAGGTAATTTGTTACTGTGTTTTGCCACTTAAGCCCGTGAAAACATTTTTGGCAGGCAATTGAGATTGATGTTTTCCGGCGTTGACATTTTGAATTTCTATTAACGAGGACTAATTATTAAGAAGGATGCTTGTGTTGGCCGTCAAGTACCCGAACCAATTACTGGCATCAGTTTACATTTCAACAAGCCGATTAACGTTTTCCCATCATTTCCACATTTAACAAATGTGTTTCTAAAATGAATAGGAAAACGATTTATTAACTTCATCTTACACTAACCGTTGAGTTGCCTCCCTTTGTATTGCTGGAATCCGTTAAACTCAAATCGTTGATATACCATTATAACCAGGTTTTCAGATCAGTGCACATTATCAAGAAAGCGTCACATTGAGCATTCCCGTCACATAAGCTGACTCTCTGACCCATAAAACACCGTTGAACTCCCATGTTTCCAGGTATATAAAGGCAAGACAACCGTTCGGGGCATTTCGTGTGATCACTGGCAGTCGTGCATGTACTGGGGGTTACTCGGCGTCAACTTCACTCTCGACTACTACTTCTCTGGTAAAACACACGCAACACCCGTAACACACGCACGTACGCACGCACGCACGCACGTACGTGCATACCTGTATTTAGCGAATGATTAAGGATATATCAATTCATTCCCCGAATGAAATACTTTTCGAGAGTGCAACACAGCTTTTAAGTGCAAAAAAACAAGCAACGCACAGGAAAGCCCACATAAAGGCTTCAGTGGCATGACGATCATAATCATCATTATCATTGCCATTGCAGGATATTTATGTAGCGCGCATATCCACGCAACTAGTACATGCTCAAGGCGCTGGATGTTCCCTTCATCAACGGATGTCTTTTTTTCTGGCATTGTTTTTTTAATGTTTTAACCAACGCAACTCCCTGGGGAGTATTCGACTCATGCAGCCTGTTAGGCGCAGCGATTTATCACACAGACCCATCCTCACAAGGTACCTATTTGCAGCTGGGTGAACTGGGACACATAGTCACAGTATTTTGTCCAGTGACACTGCACATTACTATACCCGCAACTAGGTGTCTGCACGTGTTCGGGTGTGTACTATCTGGTCACCTACCATCGGATGAGTGGGTTCATTTAAGTGCACAGGGTTGTGTACTGCACACCAAGGGTTGTGACAATACTAAGAGCCTGCAAGTAATGTTAGCTCCAAGGTTTATACACCCGGTCACAAGACTTCGATCCCGGTCACGGGTTCGATCACGGCACCTTTCGATTACTAGACCAGCGCCTTCGACAGCTCGCCATCCTTGCCCCCAACATTGGGATGTTCAGCATAAATATGATTAGTAGTTCGATACATGGAGGGGCGGTGGGGTAGCCTAGTGGTTAAAGCGTTGGCTCGTTACGCCGAAGACCCGGGTTCGATTCCCCACATGGGCACAATGTGTTAAGCCCATTTCTGGTGTCCCCCGCCGTGATATTGCTGGAATATTGCTAAAAGCGGCGTAAAAGTTAACTCAGTCAGTCAGTCGATACATGGAGGTCTATTTTGCCCAAGGCGAAGTGGGCGAATATCGAGGATGTTAGGCAACTGTCTCAGCTCAAAGGTTACACCTGGTATATAGAAGATCCTTATGACTTGTTTCAGTTTTCAACTGGACAACAGCAGACGGTTCTCCTGGAATCCCGGTCAGGGCTGAAATCGTCGGCTACCAGAATTTGCTGGGCCCCGGACCGGATTCGAGCTTTCATCATATATATGACTATACTGGCTTCAAGAGCTATCTCACTGACATAACAGTTTTGCAGGTTAGTTGTTTGGAATAGGAAGGGAGTGAGTATCCTTTTTCGCCGCTTTTAGCACTATTCCAGCATCATCCTGGCGGGCTACACCAGCAATGGGCTTCACATATTTTACTCATATGGGGGAATATACGTATTCGGCATGACGGATGAAGGCTTTGGCCACACGTCTACCCCACCACCCTCGTTTGGTAAAAGAAACCGGAGGGAAACTATTGTGATCACTGGTTGATTATCTTGAGGGTTCCATCGGTGATGTATCCCTGTTTCTTTCAAAGACAAAAACACGACTTTATGTCAAGAATATCTGCTCCCTTTTACCAGCGTCAACTTTATTCATGAACACCTGTGCCTTTTACCAACACCAACTTTATTCATGAACAACTGTGCCTTTACCAACACCAACTTTATTCATGAACATATGTGCCTTTATCAACACCAACTTTATTCATGAACATCTGTGCCTTTTACCAAAGTCAGCTTCACTCGTGAACACATGCTTCGTTTACCAAACTAAAAAATGTATCGTGACCATTTGTTTCAGAGGGGGTGACGTGGGCGCCCATTCAACTTTTGAACACCTGTGCCTTTACCAACACCAACTTTATTCATGAACACCTGTGCCTCTTATCAAAGTCAGCTTCAATCATGAACAAATGCTTCTTCTACCAAAATAAGAATGTTCAGAGGGGTGAAGTTGGCGCCCATTTAACCCATGAACACATGTGCCTTTTACCAACGACAACTTCATTCTTGGACACCTTTGTTTCCAACGCGCACGTCACTCCTGAACTTTCTTCATCACGTTTGTTCAAAAGAGTTGTCCTTCTTTTATCACGCCTATAAAACAAATGCTCATGATACATATAATTACTTTTACACATCCAATTATCTGCCAATATATATTGAGGTTTTACCAACTGTACCTCGTAATGTTTAGACGCCAGTAGGTGTGGCCTGTGAAGGCCGCCGTCAGACACGCCGCATGCCGCAGCTGGGGCCAAAGTACCGGTACAGACAGGAGGTAACACATCTCAGCGAACAGATGGTTTACCAAGAAGACGTGAGTTGGTTTTGATTTGTTCGTTGTTTAACGCCGCACCCAGTAATGTCCCAGCTTTTTTTTATTTATTTTTTTGCGGCGGTCTATCAACATATCCATATCCTTCACATATCCATGTTGGGAATCAAACCCGGGTCTTCAGCTTGACGAGCAAACACTTTAACCACTAGGCTACGCCACCGCCCCTGGTCATCATGGAAATAAATCACATTTCTGGTCGAGTTTCCAGAAACAAACTATGTACAATTACGCAAATCAAAGTCAATTTGTAAAACGTCGAGGACGGAGATGTCTCAGTTTCGATTATCTGCCTATTACTTGCCTATTATCTGCCTATTATTTACCTATTATTGACAGATTATTTGGGCAAAGGGCAAAAACAGCGGGCAGGCTTAATGAAGAGTTCAGTGAAAATCACCTAGTGTTCGTGAACTTCCGAAAGGAAAAAAAAGCGAGGCTTGTGTCTGAAAACATCTTGAAAATTTGAAACCAGATAACAGAAATCAGTCACGCTGTTTCTTGAATTGTTATGATTAGTGATTTTACCTTTCCTCACACATTAATGCCGTTTTCTGATTGGCTAAACGTTCTTCTATTATTTTCAATGTACCCAGCTTTCAAGCTCGCAACATTTTCGATGTTACCCGCTGGGAATGCCGAACTGTGGGATTCATTTGGTACTTCGTGTTTGGTAATTCTCTATCACGAACAATTGAGTCACGCATGATGTACGGAAATTACCGATGTTTTGCAAATGCAGATCGATGGAAGGGAGATAACTCTAAATGTATTTTTCGTGTCTGCCGTTGTCGGTAATGGCTAATTGCCTAACTCTGGTACTAATTATTATGATCCTACACCTGTTCTTCAAAAAGTTCAGAATTAAACATTGAGGTGTTCAGTAAGTTAAATACGTTATTCACTGGTCCCTCGGGGCCCATGGGTTGAGGTACCCTCTAAGTTTTTCGGAGGCAGGGAATATAAACAGACATAGAGGGTACATCGACCCATGTCCTCTTCGTGACCAGTAAACAACTCATAATATATATTTATTACCCACGTGGTCAACGTATGGGTGGTTGCATACTAATCTCGTACGTTACACGAGTGTCGTATCGCGTTGACCTGTGTCGTAACAACTTGACCTGAGATTCTAACGATTTGATTGGATAACCGATGACCTCTCAATTAGGTCACATTCTGACGTTACTATTTTTTCATTCATAACAAACGCGTGAATTCATTCATTCTACAACTTAAATGCATTGTGGGAATGTAAACATTGCAAACGTTGCCGCGTCGCTGTTTAATTTTGAGTCGAACTGAGACATTATATCTGTTGAAAAACATAAACGCAATGTTTCCACCAGTGATGTTAGCCGAATGAAGCAACTGGAAACCAAGAAACGAGGTGCTACGGAGTAGTTTTCTGTAGGAGGCTGTACGAGGCGATGACAACTGACATGCATCGTGACGTCGGTTACCAAGGCAGTGACGTCATTGCAGTGTGACGTCACGCAAATATTGTACTACCGTACAAAACTCTTCCGCAACCACTTTATGAAACCGGTTTCGGTTTGAAACCAAAAACATAACAAAAATACGCTTTTTTGTCAATTTAATGCATGTAAGACGTGGGTAATAAATAAAATACCACACTCGGTATTATTACATACGAATTACACGAAACTCGTGACCCTATGCTTTCGCTTTCGCTTTCGCTCGGTCAGATACCATAGGAAGGACACTCGTTTCGTATAATTCGTATGTAATGAGATCTCGTGTAGTATTCTCTATATATCTCCACTGAAAAAAAAATACTCTATTTCTGTCCTTTGCCGATCATATTGACTGTTTAAACATAATTAAGACTGCTCTGCAGAAATCATAATGACGAACCGGATTGTGTGTGATAGGTGTGGTATGACTACAACCTCCAACTCGTCCGCTGGGACCACCGCCCCACACACAAAGACAACCACTACAACACCCTGGACGCTATCACCGAGATTCACGACTTCAACACAGGTGTACATATGCCCCAGGGACCTGGGGGAGAAGAAGGGATGGTAGAAGTGGATGGTGTGTGTGTGTGTGTGTGTGTGTGTGTGTGTGTGTGTGTGTGTGTGTGTGTGTGTGTGTGTGTGTGTGTGTGTGTGTGTGTGTGTGTGTGTGTGTGTGTGTGTGTGTGTGTGTGTGTGTGTGTGTGTGTGTGTGTGTGTGTGTGTGTGTGTGAGAGAGAGGAACAGAGGGTTGACGGGAAAAGCTAGCGACAGGGTTAAATGAACAGGTTAATGGCTCCAAGGATTGATACGTCTGTGAAACATGGCTTACGGTTTAAACATATATGAAGGGCTGCATTCATAAAACAATCATGCACTTAATATTGCATGTATAAAAGATGCAGTACATTTGTTTTTATATAAAACAACCATACAATCACACTGTTGACCAAGTGAGATGTATAATTTCATAATTTCAGCAGAATTATTTTCTTTCTCCAGTCAGTACGTTTCCATGTTGACGTATTTTATGTGAATTTTATTAAAAATTTCAGATTGTTTGTCCATAACAACGCTATATTAATGTTGACGCTTATATTTCAGGAGTGGCTTATGTTATTTACAAAGACTTCCCTCGCTGCAACATCTTTCCCATACAGAACAATACCTGGGATGCAACTAGAAATACGTCAACGTCATCACTGAGACTGAAGCAGCCAGAGGAAATGTTCAGCCTGGATTCATCGTATGCTTATTCAGGACAAGTACGTTCTGTCCAGGACAGTTAAGCTCTGTTCAGCACAGGTACGCTCTGTTCAGGACAGGTACGCTCTGTTCAGCACATATACGCTCTGTTCAGGACAGGTAAGTTCTGTTCAGGACAGGTACGTTCTGTTCAGGACAAGTAAGTTCTGTTCAGGACGGGTAAGTTCTGTCCAGGGCAAGTAAGCTCTGTTCAGGACAGGTAAGTTCTGTTCAGGACAGGTACGCTCTGTTCAGGACAGGGAAGTTCTGTCCAGGACATGAAAGTTCTGTTCAGCACCTATACGCTCTGTTCAGGACAAGTAAGCTCTGTTCAGAACAGGTAAGCCTTGAGTTAAACAGCTCCATCCATCGTTTATGTCGATTCCTTAAGTCTTTTCCTTCAAACTTGCTCCCCAATACACGAATTATCATTTCGTTGTGTAGAGCTATGTCCTTCAGACATGCCAGAAATATTTGACCATGGGTTTTAAAACAGATTTGCGATTACATTTCAAGGTTTAACAACACCATACATGTGCCCGAGGGTTTACTTCAGGCTGTTAATGTCTATGAAATATGAGATTTCAACCTAGAACTGTTTTGTCCTAGAGAAGTGACACCCTGGAATATTGTTCAAAGGGGAATTAAAGCAGACTATTTCACTCACCTATAATGCCATGCTTCACTTCATCTCCCAACTTACTTTTTTATTCTCCTTGTGCCCCTCCTCGATCTGTTCAAACAGCACCCGCGTACGAGTATGAGCCTGGAAGGCGGAAGGTTGAAGGTTCGATGCTCTGGTCGCGTCGTGGCATGAGACGTGCCACAATTGTTATGCCCTGTTATCTGACTCGGGGCTTGGCATTAGGTGCATTAATCAAAGACAGTGGACTTTATCTTACTTTCATGTAAAATACCTCAATTTCATTGGTCAATGACGATTTAACAATATAAGTTGTGTGCTTCTCTCGAGGGGAATACGGTCTGATGTTTGCATCTTTGTAGCAGTGTTACCCAAGCCGGCAGCTGAGAAGGTGTATTGCTAACAATCGTATGACGTCATAATCTGACGTATGCAATGCACGGAGTTCGAAACCCGTTCAATTAGCTGTTTTTTCAGTTCACTATGTGCACATTTATTTCACTGACTTTCACTTCTTTATTTAAACTATTCATACATTGAATCGTTTACACACTCAACCTAAACAATATTAACTATTTTTATAGCAGTGTTTAGCTTGTGAGAATATGTTTCACTGAATTTAAATATCCAGTCGAGGGGCAGACGCCATTTTGCTACATGTCATATAGTCGGTACATTCGTGACCCAGTCTTGTTATTCCGGGACAAGCCGAGTCTTCTTGGAGGTTACGGAAAGGAGCGAGTGGTGACGAATGATAGTCGGTAGCGAGCTTATCGATTTTCAAAATAAAATAAAGTGATATTTTGTACATTTGACATGGCGGTAAGATAAATACGTTGTAAACATCTCCCTTGGGTACTACGGTCTGATGTACACTCGTGTCAGTGTCACCCGAGCCGATAGAAGACGGATGATGACACTGCTACAAAGGGTACATCAGACCGTATTACCGAGGGAGAAGTTTCCAACGTGATTTATCTTACCGCCATGTCAAATGTACAAAATATCATTAACTCCTGCGTCATAGTATCTCAGTGGACCAGCACTGAAATAGGGCATTATCATTTCTGTTATAACATTTATATTGATGTCTTCACTTGACAGCTGGTCCTGACTTTTTCGCTACTGTCCTGGTTATGTTTACTAACAACGGGATCATATTGGTATGGACGAATATTTGTAAGCCACTGAGCGAACGTTCATATGCATTCAAAGCTTTACGTTGGTGTTATTGTCTGGCGATGCCATCGCGGAACTTCTAGACTCTATAACGTGAAAGAGCAATCTGCTGCATGTCAGCCATGGCTACTATGACGTCAGGTCACGTGATAACAACTCTGCTCTTAATTCTCGGTAGTTTCCGGAATGAGAGTAGTCTTTTAACGGGGTCTTTTTGCTATTAATATTGACTTTTGAAAAAATATTTCTTCTTCACGTCGTTTGATATGCCTTAAAAGTGATTCAATTATAATATTTTACTGTATGTCTCCTTTAAGTGTCTGATATATTTTCCAACCCAGAGAGAGTTATAGCTATGATTAACTTTGACTTCAATAGTATTATCTATTATGAAGATATATGGATTAGTCTTTCACTCCTTTCCAGCGAACAGTCCGTGGAATGGCCTGTGATGTGTAATCAGCGGTTCGGGCGGACTATGAGAGTCTCCGTGGTCTTAATGTCACATTTGAGTGTTGTAAGGATGCTACTTTAATCCTATATCGTCCATTTTGAATTTATAATGAGACACCTGGACACCTGGTGTGTCTATTGTTAGATGGTGAGTCTTTGTCTCAGGTCTATAGTGAGATCTATGGTGTGAACATCTGGTGTGTCTATTTTTAGATGATGAGTCTTTGTCTCAGGTCTATTTTTAGACTCGGGTGGGTATATAAAGTCCCCCCCGAACAGTCCTCCATATCATTCTGACTTCAGTCGGGCTACGTACGGATCTTATGTTCTTGACTCTACTGATAGCTGTTTACCTCGAAGATGGAAGCCGTTCACCGTGAGAGTTGTGATAACGAAGCCCTGTTAACACTTCCAAATCCCAGATGCCATTTACATCTAGGGGACGACGTCTATGTGACAGCCAAGACATGGAATGGAAAACTAGAAATTCATGTGAGGAAGTACGAAGTATACCCGAGTGGCAAGTGCTACCCAACCAAACGAGGCATTGTGCTTACCTTGAAACACTGGCTTGAAGTGTCTAGTGTTCACGTGCAGCTGAAACAGCAGGGAAGGTACTCACACGTCCATGTTGGAGGGAACATGTACGTTTCCTGGGACGACAATGGTATTGATGTGCGACAGTGGGAGAATGATCAGAAAAGTGGTAGAGTGATACCTACCAACCAATGTATTCTGTTGTCCCTAGATCAGTGGGAAAAGCTGGTAGATTGTGTAAGAGTCATGTCAGACTTTGTGCCAGAACTGAAGGACATGGTACCCTGTATGCTTCAGGACGATCATCAAAACCAGATGGGATACTTCCAGTGTTCCTTTTGCAACCCTAGTGACTACAGTTACTGGGTGTAAAGCCATTCTTGGTTTAGACGTTGTACTGTGTGGACGTGTTACCATTGGTCTGGGATATCATGGATGTGTGTGGACATTACCCATTCGACAAGACTGTCGTTGCCGATTGCTGTGCAATCAAGACTGAATGGACTTCATTCCAGAAAAGACTCGATTCGTTTAAAGACTGGCCAGTGCAGATGAAACAGAGTCCTAGTCACATGGCTCAGGCAGGATTTGTGTACTTAATCAGAGGGGACGCTTGCAAGTGTTTTCAATGTGGTCTCGTTCTCAAGAACTGGGAAGTAGATGATGATCCCTGGGCCGAACATGAAAAATGGTCTCCAGATTGTCCGTATTTGGCCCTGGTGGGAGTACCTCAGAAAGAGGTGACCCGTTGGGGTAGTCATGTGGATTTGCAACCAAGAGTGTGATGTAAAATGTGTGACTATTGGAAATAAATCAATGTTAAGAGTATGTCTGCCTTGGTTGTCTATGTATAGTATAAATAGAGGTTGACTCAATACTAATCTCACTGAGATCCCAACCGCGATAAGAGTTTGTTTGCTTGAAATAGTATGGCTAGGTACGTGTTGAAGCATTACGAATTTTTAAGGTTCATGTTAATGTTTCAAGACATTGAGGAGATTCGACAAGACATCTTAGAAATGAACAGAGAACAGATTCTTGCCATCAATGGTATTATCAATAGGTTATTAAAGGGAAGATTACCAGTGACTCGATATGAAAGGCGTCGTTTCCTGAGGAAAAATGATAGAAATAACTATCTAGCGGTGTTACGAAGATTAGTTCACCCCCTGTGGACGACAGACAGTAGGTGGAAGAGTCTTTTTTGCCAGCAACATGCCAATCGTAGTATTTGTTTTGAAACCACAGTTTGTCAATGCACTTAGAGATGAGGCCATTCAAAATGCCTGGTTGTATGATAGAGCATTGGCTTAGTATGTTTGGTACACCTGGTTTAGTTTGTCATAGTAGTGCATCCGAACCATCCTGGCAGCGACGTTGAAAGCTATACCAAGCCCAAGGTCAATGAAGATATCTATATAACAGGCCACAAGGACTATCTAACTTCATTTAGCCGTGGACCAGTGACAGTGACGCATCACCTCAGACCGCTCCCGTTTTCATCATGAATAATCCACGATACAAACTCTTCGTACCGGATGCCGAAAAATGGACACGATTTTACATGCTCAGGGCTGAAGGGAAAGGAGACCCTTATCATTCTATAACACGTGGAGGAGAAAAATCTGCCATGTTGTCTGTTGAACGATATTTGGAACTGTATGATCCAGAGTGGAAGAAAGACAAACAAAAACCAGAAACCACAGAACAACCTAAGATTAATTTCGTTACCCCTACTCAACAAGTGGTCGAACAAGCTAAAGCCAAGTTAAAGAGAGAAAGGGAAAGTGCCGTCAATAGGGAAAACACAAAGCGAATGAAAACATATTTTTAAATAGAGACAAAAGGCTAAATGTGTCATTTGTAGTAGGACTGTTGACGTGTGAACATTATTATGCATCCCTGTCCCGTATGCTCCAAACAATATGTTTGGGCTCATGACTTGTCCCGTCATATTCGAACAAAACATCCAAAAGATATCAAGCAGCAGCAGCAGCAGCAGCAGCAGCAGTAGCAGCCGTCACCACCCTCTCCTCCTCCTCCTCCTCCACAGCAGCAGCAGCAGCAGCAGCAGCAGCAACCACATTCGTCAGAAAGTATTACCCAGTCATTGGAAGAATGTAGACTGATTCACCCCTTCACCATGATTGTCTCAGGGCCAACCTCCTGTGGGAAAACCTACTTAGTGAAACAGATTCTAGAAAGGATGAACATTAAACCTTATCCTGAACGTATTATATGGCTCTACAAACGATGGCAGCCCTTGTATAATGCCATTCAAACCCATGTTTATCCCTATGTGGAATTTCATCAAGGCATTCCTTCTGATCTCGAAAAGGATGCATTTCTAGACCCCAGTGTGGTGAACGTGGTTATCCTCGATGACTTAATGTCTACTGCCAGCAAAGATCCACGCATTACAGATCTGTTTACGGAAGGAAGTCATCATCGTAATCTCTCAGTGATCGCCTTGAACCAGAATTTGTATTTCAGTAAGGATCCCACACAACGAAGAAACTGTCATTATCTGCTTCTGTTCAACAACCCTATCGATCAACAACCCATCATGACTTTGGCGAGGCAAATGTATCCAGGTAACACAGACCATTTCATGGAGCCGTTTCAAAGGGCTACCCAGAAGCCTTATGGCTACTTGTTGGTTGATCTAAAACCCCAAACACCTCCCCATAGGCGACTTTGTCCCAATGCATTCAGTTTAAAAGGACACCTCCAAGCCAGGACAATTCAGTCCGAGTTAGATGTTCAGCGTGAGCAGACGTGTGAAGAAAACCTCTCAACCATGCCGTCTTGTGATGCCTGTGGACTCGTGTTTCAAGATGTGCAAGATTTGCAAAAACACAGAAGAAACTGGTGTCCTGAAAAGTCTTCAGTGGGTCCTCCTGGGATACCCCAAGTGAAAAGGCAGTGGGAGGAAGACAACAACTTCTCACCTGTAAAGAGACCACGTCCTCTGGTGGATTGTGACTATTGTGGTCAAGTGTTTAGCACTAACCATAACTTACAAAGACATTTACACGATAAACAATGTCCTGAAATGGAAAATGAGGACGATGATGTTGAATCATTAAGCGATGTCACACATGGCAACAGGAAAAATAAGATGGCTGATCTCGAAGAGCAAGGTATAAGACAAATGTATTCACGTACGCGTGAGCTGAATAAAGACTTTTTGGATGAGAAACGACAGCTGTACATAAAAAGAGGTTTAAACGAAGACATGATTCAAGCCAAACTGAACAAATTGATCTGGAGCACGTTTAAAGAGACGTATGCCCGATTTATTACTTATCTGTACCATATGCAGTATGGTCCAAAGACACAAGGAATACTGAAACGAGTAAAAGACACAAATAATATGTATCATGAAGTGATTTCAAAATTGTACCAATATAAGTCTTGGGTCGAAGGCATGACCGAAGATGAAGACATAACATCTGATGAAGAGAGTGAAGGACAGGTGGATGATGATGAAGGGTAATAAGACAACAGATGTAAAGTAGGCATTTGGGAGAGCTCCTATCCTAATGTCTACTCATTTGAAACGGAGCTAATAAACAATGAAATCTGTATATCTCTCTTGTTTCTTAATGTATTGTACCTCTGGGTTACCCTTCAGTAACCCATGCTTGTCATAAGAGGTGACTAACGGGATCGGGTGGTCAGGCTCGCTGGCTGACACATGGGAGATGGTGTAGAATGACGCTCATGCTGTTGATCACTGGATTGTCTGGTCCAGGCTCGATTATGTACATTATGTACAGACCACCGCCATAGAGCTGCTAAGAGTGTACTAGACTCACTGAATGTATTGCTGGAGGATTGACATAAAACAACTGTTGTACAATTCTTGGTTTTTATAATACCAATTTCAACCCTATTTCTCTGAATCCACGAAAATGTTTAACATGATCATACTAGTATCAGACATACAAGTTTCAGTTTAATCGTCATTCCTGTTGATTGAATACAATGTAACAACTGTTTCAGTTCATGGTATTGAAGATAACAACTGTTACAGTTCATTGTATTGAATACAACAACTGTTACAGTTCATTGTATTGAATACAACAACAGTTTTAATGATCTGTAATGAATATATTTATATAAATATATATATAAACGGTTTATAAATACATAAGCTATTACACTAGTGTTGTAAAGCCATTTTTGGTCTACATAACCGTTTTGGACATGTAGCCGGTTTGGACATGTAGCCATTTTGAGTCAGAACCGTTTGCGAACCGGTTTGATAGACCCTTTTGCGAACCGGTTTGGCAGAAGCGGTTTTAGGCAGGGGCTGTTGGCGCCAAGCTTGAATGCTCTTTGTTCACCGCCGTGTGCAGCCGGTATGTTGTGCTGTGCGTGTTTAGGTATTCTGGCGGTTTCATGACCGTTTAAAACAGCACAGTAGGTGTGGAATTTATGTGATGGATCATTCTCTATTCTAATTTGTGAGTATTTTTGCGTATGAACGTATTGTGTGAATAATGTTGTTGACGACAGTATCGTGAGTACACATGTTAACAATGCGAGTACATCTACGCACTAAAATTGGTTTTATGCAAGCTATAGTTTAGAAAAAAACGATGAATCTAGGGAAAGGTTCTGACTATATGTGTTTATTGTGTTGGGATTTAATGATTCGTGGCAAACGGGAGTCATGTCAACTTTCTATCGATCGTATCCTGTGTGTGTGTATCAGGCTGTGTTTATTCATGTGATTGTGTGTGAGTTTTAAAGTAGGCTCATGGTATATACGAGTCATGTGTAATCAACTATCTATAGGTTGTATTCTGTGTGTGTATCGGGCTGTATTTATTCATATGATTATGTGGGATTTTTAAAGTAAGTTCATGGTGACTCGTTCTACATGGGATACTTTGGTGAGAAGCATGCTGTGTGTGATTTCGCTATGAGTTTCAACATTTCACTCAGTTTTTTTCATCGGCGGGCATGGCTAGGACTTTGTTATTTGTTTAAATCTATTTATTTATCATTTTTTTTCAAAATGGCGGCGGGGGACGCGGTCTATGACCTGGTTTCTTCAATGGGCGTGAAGGCCGTCATGCTTATCGGTTCATTGAACGTAGGGAGAGGCAATGTTATGGCAGAATGAACATGGCACACCTCACTCGGAGGCTGTCGTAA